CCGCAAAACTCGGAACCTCAGGCGGGACTCGTACCCGCACTTACAGATATCCAGTCTGCCGTGCTTTCCATTACACTGCCCTTGCTATGCGACCACTCAATGCTTCACTTATAGTAAGTGGGTACCATTATCAGCACTCACCCGCTAACGGGTACGATCTGGTGAGCCGATATCGGCATTACATATAGTTAAGCTGATAACTGCGGGATAACCCGAAACTTTAGACATTCGTAATTTTATTTATTTTTATTTTTGCAATGATATTACCAGATCGTACCCGTTGGCGGACGAGTGTTGATAATGGTACCCACTTACTATAAGTGAAGCATTGAGTGGTCGCATAGCAAGGGCAGTGTAATGGAAAGCACGGCAGACTGGATATCTGTAAGTGCGGGTACGAGTCCCGCCTGAGGTTCCGAGTTTTGCGGCCATCTCAGCACAACTATGGACATTATAATATCATTGCAAAAATAAAAATGAATAAAATTGCGAGTATGTCTAAACAATTTATGCCACTTAACATTTAGTTGGAATTGTGACAATAATTAGGTTATCACATAAAGCGAGAAAACTAAGCCTAAGTTAGGAAAAAACCAACATATTGAGACGACAATGTGCATGCAACAGTCCAATGGATTATATCATTAATGAAGTCATCATTTAATTATAAATAAACTGACTGCGATCCATGACAAGAACTAGTGGTAATGAATAGAGGTTTAGTAGAGGTCATATAACAAGGATTTTTTCAATAGATCTTTCGGCTATCAGTGACACTTCATCCGAAATGTGGAAATGGCGGCTGAAGTCCACAGAGAGTTCTGAGTTTTGAAACTAATTCAGCTACGTGGAATACCAAGGTTATACCATTATTATTCATTGTGGCTCATAGAAAATTGAGTTGTTACCAGTTTAGTTGGATCATTAGATCAAGCTCGTTAACGACTGGGCACTGGCAACACTTTATTACTATGAATTAATGAACATAGTCACAGTAGCAAGAATCTTCCTTGTGCAGTCGATAGTGCACATGAAAAACCTGGGGAGGCTGGTTTGAATATCGCATGATATTCTTTCTGGGTTTTATGATTAACCTAGTGAGATATGGAAATAAATGTGAAGAGTTTTACCATAGACGGCTCTTTCATATGCTTACCAGTATGCTAATACGTTTAGATCTATCAAATGCGTACTTGCATATTTATTCGAAGCATATTTTTGTCAATTGTTAATTTGAAAAACATTGTCATATGTTTATAAAATGACGATGTAGTCAATTTTTGTCCAAGACAACAACAAATATCCAAGACAACATCAAATACCACGTTTGTACTCATTGAGTTGTATTGGATATTTGTATCTGTTTTCTGTCACTTGTTAATAAAGCATGTCATAATGATGCTGAATCTAATCTAAAATTAAACTGCGTCATGTATTGTTTTTCATAACGGTCAAAGGATGTCAAATTTTAGCTATCAATTACATTTA